GGATCGCGGGGCAATTGACCGCGTGGCCTTGACTTCCTGTTGACCCCTAGTGCCCCTAGGGAATTTTCGGCGTGTACCTTTCGTAGAATTTCACGCCGGGGACATTCAAGAACCACACGTATGGTACCGTGAACCTCTCGACCGCGTGATCCCACTGATGAAAATGGATATCGTCGATGCATCGCGACAAAAAACAAAGACAGCCGAGCGTTTTACCCTCGCACAGATACAACCGGGGGGGGGACTTGAAGGAGAATCATGTAGAATAATAATTGTCATTCTTTTTTCTGACCCCTGTACCCCAGACTCTGCAGCCGATAAATAACAACTATCTGCATTTTTTTAATCAACGTCGATACATTGCCTCTGAAAAATATCGCTTTCGACCTTCCTATCCGCGTGGGATTGACGGGTCCACGGGCGGTGTGGCATGTTTATAGCCAGTCATTTATAACGGTGTGCCAGAAAAATTGATATCACACAGGGCTCAAACGTAGAGACTTCGAATACATTTTTTTTGTTTTTTCTTTTTTTGTTCAAGTTAGTCAATGATCTGCGCGCTGTTGTAGGAATTGAATGAAGGGAAAAATTGATCGATTCTATCCGTCCTTTCGGATTGCTCGGTTCTTAAGCTCTAATATCTTATGTGGGATTGTCGTACACAGGGTGAGGCAAATAAAACAGGCCATCTGAATATCTACCAAAAGTGATTTTTGCCGCCCTTTATATTTCATTATAAACTATTACTTACTTTTTCTACAAAAATTTTGCCGCCATCCAAAATTGCCCAATTACCCTGCATGCGCCTCCCCTCCCCCCCAGATCGGGTTCTGTTCGTACAACGGAACGTCGTCAACCGCGAATTCGAGCTGACCATGTTCATTCGTCATTCTCAATTCATCATAGAATAGGAAGTCCCCTATTTAAAGATCAGACCAAAAAAAGATAAAAAAAAGGAGGTCCCAATACGCATCGAACGGAAACGATCGACCGACTTTCCATGAGCCGTATAAATGTCACCGTTCGCGTTGTTACATTCGCGATGCAGAACCACGTACGTAATAGGTCTGTGTTACCGAAAATCGTGGGCCTCGCGTCGATTCTCCGGGAATAACTATGTTTAGCTTACTACTACGGGTCTACCGTGGTTTTTTCTTTCCGTGTGCAATCGGTAGGAAACCTGTTCGTACGAGCAACGGAATGTCTGAGTGGCCTCTGCCATCCTCTCATCTCTCTCCCCGTGCAATTCCACGCGTAGCGTAGAAACGAGTCGACCAGGTGAGATCGTTCATTCTGCAAGGGACATTTTTGTTTCAGCCCCCCCTCCCCCTCCCATCCGGAGGAGGAGGAGGAGGAGGAAGGTACCCCCCTCTGGCTGCTGGAGAAACTGCGAAATCGAGGATGGAGAACAAGGAGAGTAGGAAACCGGAAGGGGGTGAATAAGAGAGGGGGGCACTGGAATTATGCATATGAACATAAGAATTCTGTATAATACACACTGGTAACAGAAATGGAAACAGTGAAAACATTAGTTTCTGTAATTATGTAATTTTATTGGTAAACGAAACCTACAGACATATTAACATTCCTTGATATTGGAAAGCAAACAAATTCTTAGTGGAAAAAAGGGTCATGCCACTCCGTTTCTTTGGAGAACTTGTAACGAAGAGGGGCTCAGTGAAGGCTCTGGATCTTTAGACAGCTTTCGTCGCTATTTGCTGCCAATCTGCACGCAAATGACTATCTGGGTAGGAAGAAATATTTTATTATGAGAATTATAATTTCCATATTTAATCGATGAAACATGGTGTAATACTGTTTTTCTTATGTTTTATTCGTTACTCGAACCTCTTCATCTAGATAACGACTTTGCCCATCTCTGGTACTCGTCGCCATTTTGACTGAAGTGATTTATGATCGGCCATTTTGTTGGGTAATTAACCAGCTGTAGGCCCTATGCGTCAAGTATGTATTATGACTGTTCGACCGTCGAGGCAGCTACTGTAGCTGAGCTACATTGTCCCTAAATCATCTGTCTACGGATAGTGTAGTACACAATATCGAAAAGGCAACGTTACTTTTCCCGTTGAATTGCGAGTGACCTTTGGTATCGACTATTAATTGGTCCCGTTGGGTAAACAAATACGATTAGACAGAAGGGAAGAACGCTACGAAAAAGAGGAGCCCGATGGGGACAGAAAGAGGGAGAGAGAGAGAGAGATAGACAACTCGTAGGAGGTTGTGGAGGATGTCGAGAAATGAAGGCCAACGGCCTTGACCTTGTCCGTGACTTCGTGGTGAATGAGAGGGACAGAGAGAGAGGGGGGGAGAGAGAGAAAGAGGGACGGAGTGATACAAGAAAAGACACATCGGTCAAAACAAAGTGGCTTGCTTTCTTGCCCAGCGTCTCACCTGGCTACGTGGTCAGGGCGCATCAGACACATCCAGGTAAACGGCCAGCCGATGTTAATGACTATAATAAGCCGTCGTCGATTGTCCACGCCACGGTTCCATCAAAATGGACGCTCCACTGGACGAACGGTGGGGGAGGGGAGAGGAACAGAATGATTCAGACGGAGACGATTGTGCATCCGCCAGTAAAAAGAATGCTCACTGATTCAGACTCTCTCCAGTTATTTGGATAATGACGGAACTTATCAGACGGGATAGGTACATACACGTCATCATAACGGAAGCATGCGTCAGTCCAACGTCGCTGTGGAAACAGCGATTTCGTGAACGGGGACCTAACCTTATCGCGAGCTTTGGGAAAACCTATTCTTGTTGGATGTCTCGATATACATCGGAGTATACATGTACATAACAATACAAGCATTTATAAGCTCGAGTATCGTACGGTAAATATTAATTAAACGGGAAATCAGGGTGGACCACGAAACCGTGAACAGCTTACATTATTCTACAGTCATGAATAGAACTAGTTTTGTAAGGTAACTATTTATAAGATTATTCTACGTCATAAATAGCACCAAGCAGTCGTTTGTTGACCGTTTACGAGAATATATTGTGGCACATCAATTCTGAACATGTTCAATGTTTAATTGAGGTCAATGTTAACTTGCTTTAATTAAGGTAAATGATATTTTATTAATGTTTCTTTGGTTTAGAAGAAAAACAATTATTGTTGCGATACTTGCCGTATTCGTCTCATTATTCGCCAAAAGATGGGCGTAAGAAATTTATAGATTTATTTAGAAAAAACTGAAGGTGATCTTGGAAGCTCTGGGGAAGAAAAACAGGGTTGACAAAAAAATTTGGTACAATCATCTTGCTCTCATTGAATCATGTTATACTGGACAACAAAATTTTCGATCGAACAGCTAGCAGTAGAATAATATAATAATATAAGCTGTTCACGTTTCGTGGTCCATAGAATTTAATGTTTAAAATTTAGAAATAAGTAAAAGCACTTCAGGCGAAGTGATTATGTACTTCTTTACCTTCTGTGAAAAGTGATCTAAAGAGCGTGAATTGGAATTTTACAACATACATAATGATTTATTTTCGCAATACGCCTCAAGGTTTTCGCAAAGCAAAGGCATGTGTCCGGACATCTGTTCGCTGTAAAGTCAACAGTCTGGTTGTCAATAGTTAGTGGATTGATAATACTTACCTGATCCTGACTATAATTGCGCATGATGAAGTTGGTACTGATGTTATTATACGTAATTATAATACACTTATCTAAGACAAATACATTCATCTGCAACAGATGAGTATCAGTAGATATAGTGTACAGAGTATCCCGTTTAAATCGATCCATTCGAATATCTCCGAAACTGTTGACGACATAAAAAAATGTTTCAGACAATAGTTAAATGGTATCAGGAGGCATACTTTGTTTTTTTTCAATGGAATCGTATATTTTTTAATGCACTAATTTACCATAAGTGACTTGGTACTTTATGTAAAAGATCGATTCAACGGAAAACCTACCTGTTTTGCGGAGGGTTGCTGTTCGATCGATATTGATCGGAGATCGGTACCGTTTCTCTAACAGCATCCTGTGAATGAGAAATGTCGATGACCGTGAAAGAAAATTACCAAGATTCACCGTTGAAAAAGAAATAACAGGGGAGGCGAGAAAAGAAAAAAGCGACAGGAAAATCTCGTCTCCTGACCTCGAGGGAGTGTAGGAGAAGTGAGTGAGGTCGTTCCACGATCGATAACGCGAGTCTTTCTCTCTCTCTCTCTTTCGCGAGAAGGTGCGAAAGAACCTCTTCGTTGGATACCAACGAAAGGGCCGACAGAATCGATCTCGTCCTATATGAAAAGAAGAAGAGCGAATCAGACAGCGAGCAAGAGCGAAAAAGAGAGACGTTTAATGCCTACCGGTTTGTCTTCTCTAGCGGGCATGCTCGGACGAACGAGAGAGGAGAGGAGAGACTGTGTTTCGGTTACCTATCCTCAGATAAATTTCTAAATGAGAGAGGGCATACGGCGCTACACGTTTATTGCCGTATCGCGAAAGGTCGCGTACACGGGGGTGAGTACACCACCACCACCCGCCACTGTCTGCTGCTGTCGTACCGGTGTGTTTTCTCTCTTTTTTTCATTCTATTCCCTCGTATCGTCCTTCATTCGCGGTCCTCGTCTGTCACACGAGGGCGCTGTTTGTCGCGGCGGTCTCGGTTCCTGGGGTTCCTGCCTATCGGCGGCTGGTTCGTTCGTTCGCAGGCCTGCCAACCGCGCGACGCCGAATACTCGTTGAGAAAACCGCGGTGATCACCAACCGGCGGCCCTCTCTCCTCTGCGTCATTCGTATAGACAGAATCGTTCTGTCCTTTTCGATCCCGTGAAAGAAACGTTCGCGTATCCTCGTCCTGTTCGACGAGCTCGTAAGATCATACTCGTGTACACACACACACGGTGATGCGGATGCGCGTGTGTTGAGTGGCGGTCGTGCAGCAGGTGCGGCCGCTGGAGCCCCACCGTTGGTGGTAGCACTGCAGCGCCGCCAAACGGCGACTCTCCTTAGTTTCGGGCAAGATGGGCGAACCTCGCCGGGCAGTAGCTTAGACTCTACCTACAAGACAACACATACACTAAATGTTTCCTAACCACAAGTAACAATTAATTGTACATTTATTTTATTTAAGGGAACACAAACTCTATTTTTGTAACATGCTGTATTAGTAGTGCTCCGTGGAATTTGTACGATAGTAGAGTGAGAAAGAGCAGGTAAAAAAAAAAGGTGCGAGGCCACGCGCGAGAGACACACACACTCACACACAGAGAAACGGGGGACACGAAAGACGACGGGACGACGGGACGACGACGACGACGACGACAACGGGAAGCATCACCGAAAACGACAGGAAGGTTTTGCTCGCGATAACCGGGAGTACCGTGCGCCGTGAACAGAAACGAAGAAAGAAGAGGCGAAAGGTGGATATATATAAGGTGATATTCTTCGAACGGAACGCGAAAAATCGCGCGGCGAGGGGACCGGGGGAAGGAAGACAGCGACCGAATCGACGAGGACAACGATAAAAAGGGGGACAATCCCGACGAAGACGGCAACGAGGTGGATAAGGACGATCGTACCGCAACAGTGGGCCGCCACTCAGGCTGAAAACGACAGCGAAGTAGGTGATAATCTTCGCGTACGGGTCTCGTCGATCGTTCACTCGGCTCACGGTGTGTTCGAAGCTTGCCGAATTCTCGCTCGGTGTTGTGCGTGGTTTTTAATAACGTGTTCATATACGACGTGGAGAAAAGTGTGTTGTACGACTGATAGCGGTAGTGAAGTGTATAGCCGACACACCCTCTTGACACTCGACATCCGTCTCTCGATTTTATCGGCATCGGTTTCAGCTCTCTAACCCCCCGTTTCATTCCATTATCTTTCTCGCTCCACGGTGTTCGCTACATTTAACGCGCGTGTGTGGTACACGCGTGTACATTTCGGTCAGTGCTACAGAAAAGCCGCATTACATCCCTATCCGTCCCTCTCTCTCTCTCTCTCTCTCTCTCTCTGTCTCTCTTTCTCCTCTGATCATTCCTCCCGTCGCAGCGACCCCATCTCTCCCGTTTTCTCTCTTCCTTCGTTACTCTCTCGCGATCCATCGTGTCCTGTATCATCTTCGTTCGTGCGTTCGTCTTTACGTGTACACGGTGTAAAGAAAACGAAAAAGTGGATTTATCGTTGCGGCTGGTCGCATCGGATTTCGTTGTCGGTGATTTTAACAATCATATACCGACCGGGCTCTATAATCGTGTGTCCCTTTTGCGTCCCGTAACCATACGTACTGTACTTCGTCCTAGCTCTACCCCCTCCCGGCAACTCCCCCCTCGTTTTACGAAGCGTCTCACCCACACCTCTATTCATCCTCTTTCGCTCTCCCTCTCTCTCTCTCTCTCTCTCTTTATTCCTCGCTCTTTTTCTGCCTTCGCTCCACCCTGGTTTATCGGCCGATCAGAGTGCAAATTCGTTCGTGACCGTGTGCTGTGTGTGGGTTCTGCATCTAACCAGTGTCTCGGGCAGGGTATATACACACCGAAAAAACACGGCTGACGCCGCTCTCTTGGCAACGCCGGACCAAAAGCCACGAGCAACAACGACGTACAAGTACGATTAGAGAGAAGCGCGGCCCAACAAAGATAGAGAGAGACAGCGTTTCTGTGTCCGTGTACGTAGTAATAGAACCGACGGCATTCGGTATCGTTTCGTTCGGGCGCCACGAGCGATAACACCGCTACCATGTCCGTGAGGATGGAAAACGTAGCCGCGCCGAGGAAGCTCAACTATAAAATGATGGTGAGTACCCCCCGAAAAAAAACTACCGTAGTGTTGTGTTTCTCTCTCTGTTCGTGATTCACTATTTTCTCGACGCCGGCTGAGAAACGTGCGCCGCCGGCCGGGATATCGTGCGTTCAACGCTCCATGCCGTTCAGAGAGAGCGTGCGTGCATAGTTACTTGTGTATACACGCTCTTGGAAAACGTAGCATTACCATGGGGGCGGCCGATGGCCACGAACCTTGCGGAACCGGCGTAGTTTGACAGTTTGCCGCGGGGCGTCTGCTGCCCCACCCAATCTCCTCTTTCTCTCCCCCACCTTAACCTCTCTTGTCGAGAGGACCGTCTTCACGTATCCCTTTACTTCTTTCTTCCTTTCTTTCCTTCGTTTTTTTCTTCATCATTTATTCGACCGTATTACAACCCCTGGATTCGTTTTAAATATTTATTTTTCAAAGACAAATAGTCGAACGGCACATTCAGCGCCACGATATTTTGCTTGACTGCTGCCCCCCTCCCCCTGTCTCTCGTAGCAGCGTGGCGGCGAATGTGTTAATACATATACAATTTTCTAGAGATTTGAAGCTTTCACGAACCGGCGTCATACAGTTATTAATGTCGAGGCTTTCGAATGTAAGCAGTGTGTCCGTTTGGAAAATTTGTCCCAGTGTTCATAATTGGACACTGTGCAATGTGTCATTCAACCCTTGGATATCCTGGCGAAATGTTGGGATATTTTCCTAGAACATTGCTTACAATCTGATAGAAATTTGAAATTTTATAGCTGCCAGGTAGAAGCGTTCAATTTTATGGATGAATTCATAAAAATTGAAATTGGATAGAAATTGTGTATTCTGTGAAGGGGGTCATCGGACATTAAATAACGTAAAGCTCTCTAATTTACGTTATACTGTAGTGAACTTTATTGCAATCGTGTATGCTATAAATGTATAAAATCCATACTATCGTTATAATTTTTTGACAGATATATGTTCGATTCATGAAGGGTGGTTGAATTAATAACAATTCATTGAATAATGTGCACTCAAACGTAATAGACTTCAGCTGGTTTTCAGTCATTTGTTCTATTAGTAGAAAAATATCCGGTTGATTTTCATTTACTGATAAAATGAGAAATGGTGTAACGCATGACTAATGAAATTATAAATATTCATGACTATTACAAAATTATACTCTTTTGATTGAATTGTTCTAAGTTGATAAAGAAAACAAACGTGTTTTTCCTCTCTTTGAGAATGTTTGATTTTTCGATCCGGGATTTGTGAAATCAGGTTCTTAATCTTATTCGTACGGTCCTGGCATTCTGCGCAGACTCTTGCCGTCTCGTCGTCCTGTTCTCTGCCTACTTTCAATTGGTACGCTTTTCGCAGAATAATTTGTATTAATATTAATTTCTTACTTCGGCGAATTGAATATATCAAATTGCATAAACATTTAACTACTTGATAAAAAATATAGCCGGGTATTAGTAATTATTTTTTGACTAATTGTTCGATCAATAATGCAACACAAAATGGAAAAAACATATACAGCAGTCTATTTGACGAAATGATCATTTTTGGATGAAAATTTCAGTTATTTTTTTTATTCCATGGATGATGTGTTTCATGTGTCTTAATAGAAACTTGTACACGCGCACAAGGGAAAATATTTGACGTCTGTTTAGTGTGTAATCGACAAAGGATTTTCGTCAATATTTAACGCTGCTTGTCTCGCCGCTTATTAATGCGATATTCGGTTGCTCGTGAAAGCGACGTGGAGCCACTATCCGGAAGCATTCTTAATCTGCACATTGAAATTCGACCTAACGCTTGTCAGTGTGGCCAACTTCATCGGGTGCTTTTAGCTACGTGCAATCACATTTTTTTTTCGCCAGTTAATCGATACTCGTTAACATAATTGACATGAAAAACTATAGTAACATTATATAATTTATGTCTTCTATTCCTTTTACTTTACAATCTTCTGACAATTTACACGTCCAGTTAAGCATAATATTGTTTGCAAATTTATTATCAGCGATACTCGATAATTATTCGTTGTTCCACTCTTCACTGAAGTCTGATTATTATTAACATAGCCCATTGGAAAGGTTATCGCACGGTAAATGTGTTCGAACGGACTCACGTGCAAACAGCTGTTCTTTTCAGTGTTGCCAACGCTGAGTGCAATAGTATCTATACATTCCGTTTTTTTAAATTGATTAACAGCACGCCAGTAATTTGGAATTCATTGGCGTAATTAATTTTAATAGAAATAAAAATTGTTAAGTATCGACGAAGAATCTGTAATGCTACTTTCAAACAATGAATGGGCATATTTACATTGGTTAATAGGACATTGCTTTTCGTTGCTTTACATTCAGTTCGAGAAATCGTTAAACTGACAGGCGTTTTCAAATACACATTGCTGAATGAACGAAATCGCGGACTACGGCTCAATAGCCAACCTTTCATTATTCTCGTACTTTGAACCCTCCAATCTAAAGTGTTTAATTAACAAATCAAATATTTTATCAAGATTGCGAAACCCTATCTGTATTACATTTATGGCCTGCGAACTCTCTGCATCGTTCGATGCATTCTCACGATCACTTTATTATCTCTACTTTGACTCACGTAGTGAAATGAATATTTTTGAACAATTTACTGATATTAACTGAACAAACTATTCGGACGTTTATACTTAAGTATATTTGAATACTTAGAATGATATAAAGTACCATGGTGATAATTATGATGTTGCTTTTCAGAATACCAAATAAAATGTACAATTTAATCAATATCGAGTACCGAAATTTTCAAGGTTACTTTTCCAAATAGGATACACGTTATTGTAGTACTAATTTAAATATCACGATGTGACCTTTTAGTAATCAGAAGAAAGGTCAAGCACATACTCGACCAACGAACAATCGGAGAATTTTTTTTTTTTTTTTCATAGAAACCAAAGACCAGAAGTGTTTGTAGTATGTACTCGAGCGTCCATTCTTCCGGGTATATCCTTACACAACGCAGTCTAGAACTTGAGGCGTCATCGACAGCATAGTTTATTAGGAACGTTGAGTCTTACAAAGTTACCGTACCATTATTAATGAGCTTCGCGTAACACATCGATACCTAGCGCAAAGTTGTCGTCTAGTTCAAGTTGACCGTGTAATTTATAGTGTACGTGCGCGTGCCTTTATCTTTATACATTCGGTAGGCGTAAAGGTTGTCCGCACAGTCCTTACACCCAGTTAACCTGATCTCACGACGTTAAATGTCCTTTGATGTGGTTCAAAGTATCTCGGAACACCACTTTCGTATAATTACATAATCGTTACAATAAAATTCAAAATTTTCTACACAACTAAAATTGTTTCGAGTCAGGTTCGGGTTAAGATTTTTGGGGACCCGGGGCTATCAAACCTTCGTGGGTCCCCTTGGTTGAAGGGGTGGAGTAAAAAGTTTTGTAATAAAACATGCAATAGTTCGTTATATTTTAATAACTTTAATCCGATTTATTTCTACATTTAGTGTGATCTTTAATTATTTCAAAGAGGAAACATAAATGGAAGGTTTACATCGGGGCACTCCTGCAATGTGGTGCTGTAGACCCCCCTAGCCCCCTCTCTTGATCCAGCGCTGATTCGAGTACTGTTCAGTACTTGCAGAACAGTATTTGTAAAACCTGAAGATTTTGTGTGCTCAGTTTTCGGTGAGATGCGCGGGGGGGTTATAAATTGAGAAATTATTAACGAATATCAATTCCCACGATACCGTAATTAAATCGGAAAATTGACAACGTGAACGATAGTGTTTTTCTCTGTGGTAAAATTTTCATCATCACAGTACTTTTGAACGACTCTGATTCTTCGTATGCGTGTTTGTTTTATCCCGATCGTGTCACAATATTTTCGGTTCCATATGCTCGGTATCGAATTATAACTGTGGTAAACATTGGCCAATAACGAGCTAAATGTCTTATGGTAAACAATCTATCTTGACGACGGGTAAGGCAAAGTCGCAGTGACGAGAGAAGAGCAGCTCGCGTACGTAATCACGATTGAAACAAATCAGTCCAATTATTGTTATGAATTCTGAGCGTCAATCGACGAAACGCACACGCCAACCGTCCAGCCGGCTGTGTACAGACTGTTTCCACGAGAATGGACGAAACTTACAAAAAAAAAACTTTTTCCCTACTCAGTGTTGAGATTCGCAGTAACAACAAAAATTGTTAAACAACAAGTCCTCGAATACTTTATTTTATCGTGTTGCCGAGTATAACGTGTTTTCGATGTTTGAGCCTTTATTTTAAGCACACACTGTATGTATATCCATCCTGAACCTAACCTGTGTGCGCGCACGAAAATGTCCCGTTTGGCAGAGAAAGACAGAGAGGAGTGGGGCACACCGAATGATATTACAGAAATGCGATTAGAAAAATCGCGCGTAGCTCGGAGGAATGTGATCACCATTCCGTGGAACATAGTATTTTTTCCGATTTAGCATTTAATTACAGTTAGGTGGCGATCCTGCAAACGGTCGTTGCTGCGTTCAATGCTCGCTGAAAACTGCACGATCACCACCTATTATTAGTGTTTTACGATCGAGACCAGTATCTCTTCTCTGCGGCGATGCTAAAACACAAAAGCCCCGTGGTACACCGACGAGCAAACTCGGCTTCCTCTAGGGGGAAAAAAAATGTAGGGGTAAGGGCCTCCTACCGCTTGATAAATTTATTTCAAATACTGAAATAAATGTTAAACTAAATATTAATTTGGCATAATTTTAGTAACTCCGAGATCAAAATCGAGATCAAGTGGTAGGAGGTCTTTCCCTTACATCACTTTTTCCCCTAGTGGATGCCGAGTTTGCTCCTAAGTGTATATGTCCGAACCGGTCACGTGTCTCGGGGACGCCAACCGGTGCACTTCTTTATAGTCGCAGACTCGGTACCTACTGTCAGAATGTAACGATACCACTTGTTCTGTCGGACTGAAAAATTTAACGGT